AAGAATTGGTTGTGGAAGAAAGGTAGAGCTATTTATTTGCAGACATTTCAGTGCATCAGTTTGCAAGTATTGAACTTAGGACAGATACATTTACATTATTGGGTTTTGAAAAAGAAATTCTTATGGTATGTGATCGTCTGATCAATGAATCTGGTTCTATGGCTTTATCTAGTTTCTTAGTATCTTTCAACCCAACTATCATTTCATTAGTTTTTAAGCAATGATGATTGAGCCCAATGGAATGAAATAAAGGCTCTTGTGCACTATATGGTTTTGTCCTTTGATAAATGGGGCAGCTAACTGTTCTTTGAGTAGTTTTGATTGCAAAACTTTTTATCATTTCTCGCAAATCTTTTTTCATTTCTCATCTGTTTCTTGTGTCTGAAGACTGCAGCTTTGGTTCAAAAGACTTCTGAGGCCACTCAAGCATTAACATCACAAATAAGCATCCTGGAAAGGGAGCTTGGTGAAAATCAGAATATTTTGCTGGCAATGCAGGTAAAATATAGCTTGATTTCATTTCTTTTTTAGATTTTACAGCTGAACACTTCTCTATTACAGCCTTACATTTCAAAATTACTGTACACCACTTTTCAGTTGTGACAAATCACAATGAAGCTTAATTCTTAAAAAGACCTGTAAATATCTGTTAAAGCAAATTGTCTTAGGAAACTGGTTCAGGTGTCACTACAAGATGCCTTGATAAACATGCTGTAATTCTCTGTCAGGAATTCAATTGTATGCTTGTTGACTCCAGAAGCACCATACTAATTGTTTCCATTTGGCATCTTTCTGAAGAACTTGGTTATGCTGCCTTTTGGAAAATTATTCAAGGAAATAGCATCAAAAAATTATGGCCTTTTTTTTTTCCTTTTGAGATGTGTTATAATGTAATTAATGTTTAAATGAATGCTTTGTTTCTCTAAATAGTTCTCTTTTGTTCTGTGTTTAATCATCATATATCCAGTGTTTCTTCTAATTTGACATTGAATTGTCCATGGATTGTTCTTCCATGTAGGATCAACAGCAAAAACAGCTTGAGCTGGTACTTGCAATCGGAAAGCTTGCGAAACTATGGGAAAGCAAGCAAGAAGCAAGTAATTTGACTGAGGAGGCAGGACAACTGGAAATCCATGAAAGTCAAGCTTCATATATGAACAGGGAAACCATCAGTGACAGAGCATAGTATTGTGGAGCAGCACATCCTGATTGGATCCTTGTCTACATGTGTTGATTTTTTTGTTTAAAAGGCAGTTAGACTCTTCCAGAACTGATGCTGCCAGAAATTTTTTGTTTTTTTGAATCTGTTTCAAAGGAGATGACGGAGAAGCAAATGCGGGAATAATGGTTATTCTTGTTCTAGAATAGCAACATACAAACAGAAAAGCAAAAAATGCATTTTGGTTTGTGCTCAAGCTTCTGAATGCAATTTAATTTTGTTATTTCCTTTTTATTCCAATCAAATGAGAAGGAAATAACAAAGTTAAATCGCAGTAAGAAACTTGAGCACAAACCAAAATGCATTTTTTGCCTCTTTCTTTGTATGTTGCTATTCTAGAACAAGAATAACCATTATTCCTGCATTTTATGTTTCTTTCTGTTGTCCTTTCTCGCTTCTCGGTCAATTTTGAATGAAAATTTGATTGGAATAAGAAGGAAATAATAAAGTTAAATTGCATTAGAAAATGTTCAGCATTTATATATATCCAATAAATTCTGATTTTGAGTTTTTTAAATAAAATAATCTTATGTTTTCTATTCCTAAAGATAACAGAATAAATCTTTAATGTCACTTTAATTTCTTTGTGTTGATATAAAACTATATCTTATTTATAAATTCATAGAAAACATGATATTAGATCTAGTATTAACAGTTAAATAAATTAATGCGTATATGACACTCAAAGAATGAGATTTGTCCAATCAAATTTTTTCAATATTTTTTATATATAATTTAATTTTAGATAAAAACTTCATCTGATAAGTGCTTAATTTATAAATTGGGATATAATTTTATTATCACACATCTTTAAAACTTAGTATATTTTGATTTATTCTACTAAAATACAAAATGCTGTGTATTAATAATTTTGTTCATCTAAGTAATAAAATAGAAACTTCTTCTTCAATCAAATTTATTATACCAGATATTATATGAATATTAGCATCAGTTAATTTTAATTGAGAAAAATAATTTTATTTTAAAGATAGCATGTATTGGACCATTATTAACAAAACATAAGTCTTCATCATTAATATTATCATCATCCAAATTCGCTTAGTCTTAAAATAAAGACAAATAAAACAGAAGAAACAAATATTCAAATATTGTAAAAACAATATATATATTTTATGGAATGAGTTTTTTTTATTGAATATAAAAATAACATAGCATGTAGAAAAGGGAAATAACCACTTAGGGCAAACTATTTTAAAGGATACAATAAATCAAACTCTTGATTAGGTGTTTCCATTATCAACACCATTAAACTTTGGCAAAAGGTGTAGATCCCCCTCCCTCAAAATTGTCATCTTGAAGCAAATCGCTACAAAAAAAAAAATGTTAACATAATTTATCACCTCAAATTTCAATTTTTAAGAAATCAATATAAATTTAACAATTACCGTTAACTTTTCATTAAATTTTAAGAACAATAATTTAATAAAATTTAACAGCAATTGTTAAATTTGGACTGATTTCTTGAAAATGAAATTTAAGATGGCAAATGATGTCAACATTTTTTTAAGTGGTGATTTGCTTCAACACAATAATTTTAGGAGGCAATGTGCACATTTGGCCTTAAACTTTTCAACACCTTCAAAAAATTTTACAACATCAAAGTGTATATCAAGATTTTTATTATTATATTCAATGAAATTTGTTTATGGATCTTGACTTGGTAAAAATCAACCAAATGCCTAGCATTACAATAGACATGCTCCCAATATCCTTTCACTCAAGATTGTTAACAAACACTCCCAAGATCTTTTGCAGGGTTTTTTTTTTTTTTTGTTGTAAATTTTTACCCCTTTTATTCTTTTATTTAGCAAATTTATATTTGAGGTAAAACCACTACGATATTGAGTGTTATTTCAACCACAAGTATGCCTTCAACCATGACTATTGCCATAGCCATGGTCACAGTCACAACCACACTATTATTCTCATATGAGGTTGCATTCATTTTACATAATGAGATTGAACAAGTAGTTATGACGGATGATTTTTCATCAAAAACTCATTATTTTGCTCAACAAAAAGAAGGCATGATATCAATTTTGAATATTATTTAAAACCACACTCTTGATATTGTTGTTGAAAGAGCAAATTCAATATATGAAAAGTGGAAAATATTTTCTCGTACATGTCTTCTTTAGTATTATTTTCTCTACATAATTTTAGTTGAGATGAAATTCAAAATACTATAAAGTTATATTCACTAATAAATTTAAAATCTTGCACCTGCAAATGCATCCATTCATAGTGAGATTTTAGCAGAATCACTGATTTTTAGTGATCATATTTTTTTTTCAAATTTTGTCATAATTCTAATGGATCTTTGATTGTCAAATATTTAATCTTCAATCCCTTATGAAGATTATGGCAAAGGAATATCATTGCATTAGCATGATCTTGCAAGAATATTTGATTTCCTTCAACAATTGTTTCTTAAAGATTATGTAGTAAAATGGATTTTAGCATCAAGCATCTATAACAAATAATTTGAGCTTGTTATACCAAGGATGACAAATTCAAATTTTGTCAAGTTTAACATTGTGGGTACAAATTTTCATTAAATATTAATATAATATAAAAGCAAATTGAAACTAGGAAATAAAGATTTATCTTAAGATTTTACCACAAATTGAATAGTCAAGACAATTGTGTTGATAATGTTTTATAAAATAAGTGATACTTGAGTTGGAGAAAAGTAAGAATATATAAAGAAGATAAAATAAAATAATGAAAACAAAAGAGAGGAGCACGTATAGCAAATAGTAATGCTTTCTATTTTTTCATTTTCATATCTTCTTCATATAATGCAAACCTATATATAGATTAAGGGAGAATGAATGTTACATAAATTCCAAGAATAAACTTAATTGAAGATTTATGAATTAAGTGGAACATTTACATAAATTCCAAGAATAAACTTAATTGAAGATTTATGAATTAAGTGGAACATTGAACAAAACTTACTAGTGGTTTCATGTAGTGGTCTCATAAATATAGTGGTTCCATGCTAATGATCTGTCGGTTTAAGTAAAATAAGTTTAATTTCTTTTAGATAAGGTCTTGAATATATTTTAATATTATGAATGAAAAAATAGATATTGGGAGAGCTTCTCCTTTATGGAATATAATGTAATTTGATTTCGAATTAGTTGAAACTCAATATGATTTATTGGATATTGGAGGTTAGTACCAAAAAAATATAATGATTCCATGAAGGTAATTTAATAGAACGCTAATGAAGTTAAGTGAATAGAGAAGATAGAAGATATAAGGTGGAAGTTGGGCGGTGAAATATCCATATATTTGTAAAATTCAAAATATGATTATCAATTTTATTTTTATCAGGGAATTTAATTATTTGATTGTTCTTTTTTTTTTTGTATTGTTGATTGTTCAAATTTTAATATTTGATAATTATAATAGAAATATTAATCAATTTTAAAATTATAGTATTTTAACTTTTTTAATAACTTCCTCAAAAATTACACGTTACAGTTATTTTATTTTGTAGATGTGTCGCTTATTCTGAAACCTGCACCGACATGAGAAGAACAAGCCTATGCCAGAGTGTCTGCTTTATTCAATTGTTTAAAATTTTGCTGTCCGGACACAATTTATTTTTTAAAATGGTTACATGTAAAATCTGCCAGAGAAAAGTTAAAATTAAAATATATTGTATTTAAAATATTATAACCTTTTATAAAATTATTTAAATATCTTTTAATCAATTTTTATTATTTTATGAAATTATTTAAATATTTTAAATAAATTTTTATTATATATTAATTATTTAAATAATTT